TTTCCTTTTGAGAATAGTTTACATTTTAGAATGTGAAAAAAGAAAAAAAAAACAGAAAAATGAGATCTATTGCTATTAATTATTACACCACAGGCAAAGCAAAACTCACGTATTATTGACAGGATTAGAAGTTTATAGTATTATTCTCCAAAATGCTTCTTCAGCTTCTTTCAGAGTATATAAATCATTTTTACTACATTTGTATCTCATTTCCTTCTGGTCATTATCTGAACTATCACAAAGTCATGAAACTGTTGTTCTGTTTTGTTGGTTTTGTTGCTGAAAAGTACTAAATAATTAATTTATAACCTTTTGAGTCACCGTTTTTGGAAAAATAAGTATATGCTCCTCTTTTAAAGCTATCTAAATTCTGTTTTGATGTGTTTTCAAATGTTTGCTTTTCAGAGAGCTGTTGCAAAATTAAAAGCAGTGGTGAAAGAGTTTTTTGTCTGAGACCAACTATAAAACTGTTGGAAGTCTGACTGCGGTTAAGAAAAATAACAAAATTCCATGTTAAAACGACTTCCAGGAAAATTATTCCATTTCATTTGGAAAGGCCCATCAGAATTCATACTGATGGGCACTTGCAGTATAATTGTAATCTACTGTTTTGTTAGTTTATTTATTTGTTCTTTCCTTTTGTAAGGGGGCTTGGAGCAGAGAACTGGAGAAGTCACATTTTTTAATCTATGAAAAGTTCCTAATCCATACATCTAATAAATGTTATTTCCATCTTCTCAGATCCTGTTCCACGTACTGGTGATAATTAGTAAGTTAGATACACAAGCTTCCAGCCCTGGAGACTCACAGCCTTGTAACTGAGACAGACAATAAACAAGTAAGCAAATAAATCAAGAATATAATTACAGGCTTTTGATAAGCAACATGAAGAAAATAAACAGGGTCCATGAGAAGTAGTCCTGGGAAGAGGGGACCATTTCAGAGAGGTTTGTCAGGAAAATCCTCTCTGAAAAGCTGTATAGGTTAGCACTCTTTACATTATAAATAAAAAACAACAAGAACTGACTTAAACAATAAAGAGAATGTATTGACTTGTCTGAGAATAGGTCTAATTTCCTGCAGGCTTTGGTCTAGCAACTTAAAGTCCTTCCAAAAGATCTCTGCTTTCTTCACTGATGAAGTCACCCAGTAGGACTGCACACAGTTGCTACTCTCCACTCCTTACCCCCACATACGTACACAAATATACTCCCATTTACGAACATAGCTACTACCCAATAATCTGGGGAAAGAGGAAGGTCTTATCCAAAAGCTCTCAATGAATCGAAAGAAGCTTTCCTTCACTCAGAAACCCTGATAAATGTCTTCTCACATCTCCTTGGCTCTGACTGGGTTGCAGGGCCATCCTTGAACTGACCTCCATGGCCAAGGTAATGGAAAATGCTTATTGGCTCAAGCCAATCAGGACCATACCTGGACCTCGAATGGGGTCCATTCCCCACTCACCACAAGTTTGAAAAGGGGTAAGGGTGGAACTCTAGAGGAAAATTGAGTCACTCTTTTACCAAAAGAGAGATGGATAAATGTTGGGTGCAAAATAACAGATGCATCTATAAGGAGACAGCATTTAAGCTGCAAGATGAAGATATGTGACAAGCCAGTGAGGGAGGGTTCCATGTACCAGAAATAACAAGTGAAAAAGTCTAAAGCAGAAAAGAGCTTGACATGTTAAAGGGACAAAAAAAGTTTAGGTATTTATAAAATATATAATAAATGAGCTCTGGTAATTGCATTGAGAACTCTCTTCTAGCCCGGACTGGTGTGGCTCAGTTGTTTGAGTGTCATCCCCAAAGCAAAAGGTCGCCAGTTCAATTCCTGGGCTTGGAGCGTGTCTAGGTTGTGATTTGATCCCCACTAGGGGCACATACCAGAGGCAACCAGTTGATGTTTCTGTCTCACGTCCATATTTCTCTCCTTTCTCCCTCCCTACCCCTCACTAAAAAACAAATAATTTTGTTTTAAAAAGAGAACTCTCTTCTAACTACACATACACACACACAAAAACCTGAGTGGTAATATGGCCACTTCAGGTCTGTTTTCCCGTATTCCTATAATAGCAAATAGCTTCACATGAGCTATTTCAATAATACAGGACCATAATATGGCATAAAATGTTACACATGGTATAACTAAAAATTCTATATAAATTGTATATTTAATTGTTATTCAGGCAAAATTAGGAACTGAGTGGAATCACAAATTCTTATTTTATATGTGTAGCAGCACTGTTTTCATCATTAGAAAGTACTTATATAGCAATCTAAAGTTTTTTTAAATTACTTTACTGTTGTTCAATTACAGTTGTCTGCATTTTCCCTGCACCACTCTTCCCCATTCCAGCCAAATCCACCTTCGTCCCTTGCTTCCACCCTTGGTTTTGAGTCTATGGAAACACCAGCACTCAGACACACTGTGAGTGGCCCCTTTTAAACAATGCTGAGTGGACCCTGAACTACAATCCACCAAGAGCATTAATGTTTATGCTGACAGCTGGCCTTTCCTCTGTTTTGTAACAGGTTGTACAAACCAGCAATGTGTACGTCTAAGACATTGCAAGTCTATTATATGTTGTATCACACTGTTTATTTTAATGATTTTTTATTCTTCATCTCAGCTTAGTAAATACCAAAAAAGTAAAATAAAATAAATGCTTTGTTATTTGTACTTAGTCTGGGAAAAATAAAATTATTATGCTTTTGTATTCCATTTCATGCAAATAAAAATATTTTTTCTTAGTCAAAAAAAAAAAAAACGCTTGGTTTTGTCCATGTGTCCTTTACAGTAGTTACTGAAAGCTGCTCCCTCCACTGTCTCCTCCCCCCTCCCCTCTAGCTATTGTTAGATTGTTCTTAATTCAATGTGTCTAGTTATATTTTGTTTGCTTTTTTCTTTTGTTGATTACATAACAAAAGTTAAAGGTGAGATCATATGGTATTTGTCCTTCACCCCCTGGCTTATTTCACTTAGCATAATGCTCTCGAGTTCCATCCAAGCTGTCATAAAGGGTAGGAGAAAGTTTTAACTACATTTTCAATTGCTTGTTTTTGCATATAGCTGTTGCTAGGTGAGTGAAAGATTATATGAGTATACACTGAAATTATTGGAGTCCGATGACTTCCTTGTGTGTTATGTAAAGAAAATGCATTCAAAATAGACTCTAGAGCTGACTAGAGAGCAAAGCAGACTGTCACCCAGAGCCTTGGAAGCACACTGAGTCCCCTGCACCAACACTGTAGAAATCAGATGAGTAAAGTACGTCTCTCAAGTGGTAAAAGTGTTGGAGCTCTAAAGTGTTGGAGACCTTTGCCTGAAGGCACTTAGCACTGCCTCCAAGACATGGGGGACATGAAGTTCCATTGGAAAAACTGCTCCTTTTTGGGATTTTTTTAGAGATGGTATTATCACACATGATGAAATGTCATAATATGTAAGGGAGGAGTGGGTACATAACAATTCATTGTATTTTTTTCTGATGTGTATTTTGAAATTTTTCATAATGAAAAAATTAAAATTAATTAATTAAAATATGGTTTGTACCTCTTGATGAGAGACAGTCAGTTGGTCATTGTTTTAATTTGGAAGTAATATGAAGGCCTAAAGAAAAGTTGTATGATACAAATTTGCCCTCTTTAAAAGGACAGAAGAATAGATTTTTTTCAAACATTTAATGGCAGGTTACATATATCAAAGCTCTTTTCCTATAAATATTAGTTTCCACATAGTTAAAAAAAAGATTCTCCTATATATACACAGTATACATAAACTACCATAAATTTAACATTGTTATATTGTCTTTACTAAAATCCTGTCAATTTACATAATTTTGTCAACAAAGGTATTTTCTTTGCAGTTCAGAACATTAGGATAATTGTACTTGGTTTTCATGCTGGAAACAGCCTAGGTACCCATCGGCAAATGAGTGGATTAAAAAACTGTGGTACATTTACACAATGGAATACTATGCAGCAGAAAAAAAGAAGAAGAAGCTCCTAGCCTTCACAACAGCATGGATGGAACTGGAATGAAATAAGCCAGGCAGCGAAAAACAAATACCATATAATCTCACCTATAAGTGGAACCTAACCAATAAAACAACGCAAGCAAAACAGAACCAGAGACATGGAAATAAAAAACAAACTGACAGTCACAAGAGAGGGGGGATCACAGGGGAAAGAAGACGAAGGGTCAAGTCAAGGAACATGTATGTATAAAGGACCCATGGACAAAGCCAATAGGGGGCAGAGGCTTGAATGTGGGGGCAGGTAGGGCAGGGGAAATTAATGGGGGGGATGGGGACAACTGTAATTAAACAACAATAAAAAAAGAAGAAAATAGCACATTCAAAAAAAATAAAAGGAGAAAACTTTTAAAAATTGTCAGAATCATGAATCAGTCACTGCAGCTGGCTCATCCTCATTCCATGAGCCCGTGTCCTCAGTCAGGCCCTATAGGCATGTGTGAAGGAGGCCAGGTTCTTCAGGCCACCCTCCCCACTGTTTCATCTTTAGGGATGCATTTCATCAAGGTAGCAAGAAAGTATTTTTTCTGAGAAGAAAAATTTCTATCAAAGAAATGTTTCTGCACAATTAGAGAAAATTCATTAGTCCTCCATATGCTGCCACATTCTCTGGATAGTCTGTTCACTTTTTATCATAATCAAGGATATTTATTCTTTCCACACATATTTTTTCGTCTAATAGCTGAGCGATCTCTTCTGTGGGTGCTGTGTTTGGGTGATACTTAGGGAATATCAGAAGTTCGGGCTTAGAGAAAGGAAGGAGTCCTCTTCAGCCCTCACCGAGTGCCTACTTTGGTTTCTCAGAGGTGACCAGAGCGCCGGGAAGGAGGTTTGACTTTGCTTTGCTCGCCTGCCAGCTCAGAGTTATGTTACAAAGGAGGAGGCAGTAGGGAGGCCTTGTTCACCCACTAAAGACCTATTCTTCCTTTCTCACTAGAGAGGTGAAAAGAGTGTGGTGTGGGAGTTACAGCTGTGTCTGAGTATGTGCATAATGACCTCGGGTACCTGACTATGTTTACTCAGGGTGGAATAAGGGTTGTAAACAGGAAGAGGCCAATGAGAGGAAAGAACAGCCAGGAGGCAAAAGAAGATTTGGAGAAGCAGTTTGTATTTATTTTCATATAGCACTCAGGTCAATTTCTACAACTGGAATGTGAATTAGATTCCATACTATTGACTCCCGACTGGCTCTCCCCACAACCTTTTCTGAACTGCTCCATCTTCACACCAAGACAGTGCAGCTCTGAAGTGGGTCAGGGACAGGACATTTTTCTGAAAACTGTGGCTTTTTGCGTTTTAAAGAAAGTCTCCAATACCATTGAACCCAGAACAGTACAAGGACTGGATTGAAGTATGTGTGGTGGGCAACACTGTTGTGTTGGATCCTGGGGTACCTCAGGGCACAAACTAAGATTAGAGTAAATTCCCTTAAGAATCCTTCATGTCTATAGTGTTAATATGTCTAAAAAGCAAACTTTAAACATGACAAATAGGCCTCCCTCTGAAGCGGGCACCCTAGGAAGGGAATCCCCTTCCAGCCGAGTCTCTCCAAGGTATCCCATTGGATGACGCATTGCTAGGATAAGGTATTATCTTGCTGTTAATGGTGGAAATGTTCATAGTGCCCTCTCTCTGTTTGGGGGAAAATAAGGTAGAGAGTAAAAAAAATGGTTTGGGTTTCACTAAATAAGGAGGAAGGAAAAAATAACAAGGGAGAATGATTCAGCTGGTTGGAAGAAATGAGAATGTTCCCATTAACCCCAATCACACCCCTCCACGAACAAACAACCTGATCCAGGCCCCACCTCCTTGAGGTTCATTAGTCATTGTGAGCATACTGATGTCATCCTGGAGGAAGGGTATAAGGATCTTGTCTTTGAGCACAAGATAATTTTATACATATATTTCTGGAATGGCCTCATGCCCACTCTGGGGAAGGTAGCTATGACGTAGTCCTTCCAGCCATACTTGATGACAATGTGCAGGACATGCACACACTTTGTTCGTTAGAGTCAGGGCACTGCCTTCCTATTTTAAAGCTCTTGGTGAATCCATGGAAGATCTCTGGAGAAACCTATAGTTCATGCAGGACAGGTTAGTGGCTGCTCCCAAGGTGCACTCGTGCTACAGGTTGCCTGGGACCTCAGTTCAATGCCTTGAAGTCAAAGTAGTCAGAGATATCAAGCAGGTCCTCCTCTTTATGCACACCCATGTCATCTGATCAAATCTGACTTCCAAAGGGACTATCTGCAAGCAAAAAAGATATCAAAGGGATCGGACCACAAAGGAATCAATGGTAACTTCTGGGGCCCAATTTTAAAAAAAAAAGTAAACTTAAAGGAGTCTCTTGAGCCACCTGATGTATCAACACCAAACTGCAGGCCTCAGGTGAAAGGGGGGGGGGGGCGCTACATGAGTCAACCTGCCTCCATCCCAGTCTCATCATCCTATCCAAGCTCCCAATTCATGGGCCCAGAACAGTAACCATTAGAGAGAGAGCCAGTGTTATAGAGGAAGCAAAGCCTACAGACTGGCAAGATTAACTACAGTTCTTAAAAATATAGAAAATAACATTGCACAACCCTCTTTTTTATTATCATACCTTAAAGTTTAGAGTGGCTGAGTTACCCAATAAGTGAAAAATTCAGTATTACAGAAACCCAGTTGTGATTGTTAGTCTGGGGATCCTTGCCATGAACCCACAGGACATCTAAGGGCTGACAGACTGGCGTAGGGTACACCCAAAGTCATCCCTTGTTCCCAGATTTTTCCTTATCTTTAGAAACACACACGAGATAAAGCAATCAGACAGGATTGAGAAAAGCAGGAAGCTAGTAAGGAGGAATCCTCTAATCTCACTCTACTTCTAGCTATACGTTTCTCTTTTGCATCCATCCCATATAAGAAAACAGAAGGGCAAAAATCATTAGCAGCAAGCATTCCAACATTCACATCATAGAGGTGCCAGAAGGAAAAGAGAAAGAAACTGGAGATCTATTTTAAAAAATAATAAGAGAAAACTTCCTTAATTTGGTGAAGGAATTAGACATGCAAGTCCAGGAAGCACAGAAAGTCACAAACAAGATGGACACAAAAATGCCAAAGGTTAAAGATAAAGAGAGTATCTTAAAAGCAGCAAGAAGAAAGCAGCTAGTTACCTACAGGGAGTTCCCATAAGACTATCAGCTGATCCTCAAAAGAAACTGCAGGCTAGAAAGGATTGGCAAGAAGTATTCAAAGTGATGAAAAGCAAGGACCTACAACCTAGATTACTCTATTCAGCAAAGCTATCATTTAGAATGGAAGGGCAGATAAAGTGCCTCCCAGACAAGGTAAAGCTAAAGGAGTTCATCATCATCAAGCCATTATTAAATGAAATGTTAAAGGGACTTATTTAAGAAAAAGAAGAAGATAAAAAATATGAACATTAAAAAGGCAAAAAATTCACAACATCAACAGCCGAATCTAAAAAAACAAACTTGGCAAATTCAGAACGGTAACAGAATCATAGATACAGAGATCATTGGGATGGTGGCCAGTGGGGAGAGGGTCTAGGGGAACAGGGGAAAAGGTGAAGGAATTAAGAAGTACAAATTGGTAGTTACAGAAGAGGCAGGGGGATGCTAAGAGAAGTATAGAAAATGGTGTTGCCAAAGAACTTATACGTATGACCCATGGACATGAACAAAGGAGGGGGTATCGCCAGAGAGTATGGGGAGTGCTGAGTGGAGGGAAGCAAAGGGAGAAAAATTGGAACACCTAAAATAGCATAATCAATAAAATATAAATAAATAAATTAGGAGCTATTTCCCTTTTAAAATAAAGTTTTCAAAAACTTTGTGCCCAAACCTGGAGTTCATAGTGTTCAATTTCAGGGTCATTGTTCACTTGGTATAGATTTGTGCTCCAGGAGTGAACAGTGATATAAAACACAAAGAGAATTGGGCTCCCTGCACTTAACAGGATCCCAAGTCCTACATCCTATACTTAATACAAGGCTAATCAAAATGCATAAATTAAAATATGCATGAATGGACTGGAAGCTTGGTGTGGAGTGTCTCTGGTCTATATATTTTTTGGGAATTAGTATTTTAATGTTATAACTTGCTATAAACTTAATGGGTAAAAAGTGGCATGTTAGTGTTATAATTTATAGTTCCCATAAGGTTATTGGTCATTTGTGTTTTCAAATGAATTTCCTATTCCTTACCTTTTGTTTATTTTTCTATAGGACTGCTCTTTCTTTCTTTCTTTCTTTCTTTCTTTCTTTCTTTCTTTCTTTCTTTCTTTCTTTCACAGTTAATAGTCAGGATTTTTAGAATTTTAAACTTTTTTCTTTATATGTTTTAAATATTCTCCCATGTCATTTGTAGTTTAACTTTGCCTTTGGAGTCTTTTACCACATAGAAGTTTTACATTTTTATGTATCAATTCTGCCAAACATTATCTTTTTGGCAGTGTTAAAAATTCTGATGGTTTTAAACACCAGACAGATAACACTAATAAGTGAAGTGGGTCAGGAAAGGACTGGGTAAACTAGAAAGCATAAATAGAAAGCAGGCATTACTTCCTTAAACAAAGAGGGGAAAACCCTAGGTTATAGACATGACTGAGCTGGTTTTCATGTGCTCCCAGAGCTCTGGCAAGGGCGCACAGGCCTTGTCAGAAGGGTGCCTGGTCATGCCGGGCTTGAGGACTCCTTGGAAGCATACTGAAGCTATGAAAGCACCCTCTAAGGGCTGAGTGGAAGAAGATGTGACTTGCCGAGGTTGAGACTGGCCATTCTTCACACGTCCACTTTGGCAAAGAGAAAATTGTTGTTCATCTAACTTTGATGCTTGGGATCCCAAGTAGTGCAACGTGACGGTAGCATCCAGATACAGACATTGCATTGAAGTCTGCTTGTGGTGATTAGAAGTAGATACCTTTATTTTCCCTCTCTTTTACACCCACTCTTTCATCCTTTGCCTAGCTAATTTGGACTCCTTCCAATCTCATCTTAAAACTTTCTTTAACTCTTTTTTGCTGGCCTCTCCTTGTTCACCGCACCCCCATCCGGTTGGAGGCCCCTCATATATGCCCCCACAGCAAACTGCACTTTCCCTGTCACCATACTTACCACTTTAGATGACCATTACCTGTTCATCGTCTCCCTTTCTGACTACATCACATGCTACCTGAGGCAAAGACAGCTACCCATCTTGCTCGCAGTTATATTCCCAGCACCTAGCATAACATAAAGCAGAAGCTAATATTGACTTCTGACATGAATGAATAATGCGTGCACAGCTCTGCAAGAAGCACTGCATCTGTCTCATATTTTCATTCAGCACAGGAATTTATAAGGCAAAAGCCGTCTCCCACACTGGGCCAAGAAGTGCTCTCTGGTTGGGCAGTGACGCAGACTTTGTCTCCAACAGAAACTGGAGAACTATGAAAACAAACATGAGGTCACTTGAATCTGTCTCCCTGTCAGCTAGCGAGAGCTCAACTCAGATTTCATCCCAGAAGCTGACCCGTGTTACTTTGGTGGTTTATTTATTTTTTTAACATGAAAGGGAATCAAAATGCTCACATGGAACACAAACTGCTTTAAAAAAATACAAAGGGGTGGGGGCAAGGAGGAAGAGATGGAAATAGAAAAAAACCATGAAAATAAACTGAGTAAAACAGCGTTTCAAAATATATTCATATTCTGAGACAACAAACAGGTAGCTGACTCTCGTTCTCATGATGTAAAACATCTGACAAAGTTTGTTGATTTTCAAGAGAAAAAATAAAAGCAACTTCTGGATTCAAATATAGACTTTTTCTTAGATATCAAGTAAAAAACAAAATATTCTTTCTTTTTTTCTCAGCAGGGATCTCACTCCAAAAAAAGAGAAGAGAGAGAGGGAGAGGTTCTGAAATTTTGTTTTTATGAGTAGGATTATGCTATATGGACTAAACATAAAAACAAAGAAACAACAAAAAGATTAAGGAATAAAAAGAAAAACATTACCTGGCTGGTGTAGCTCAGTGGATTGAGCACAGGCCTACGAACCAGAGGATTGTGGTTCAATACCCAGTCAGGGCACAAGCCTGGGTTGCAGGCCAGTTCCCTGCAGGCCAGGTCCCAGCAGGGGATGCATAAGAGGCAACCATACACTGATGTTTCTCTCCCTCTCTCCTTCCCCTCTAAAGATAAATAAAATCTTTAAAAAAAAAAGAAAGAAAAGAAAAACATTATTTGCTAATTTTAATGATTCTTTAACACTTAGAGAGGAAACACAGTCTTTCTCTATTCAAACTGAACAGTTACTGTAGGCACTTCAGGGGTATCTGTAGAGTGAACCCCTTCCCACTATGTCCTTACAACTCCTCGGATGCTCACCACCAGCTATGACTGCAGCACCCCCCACAGGAAAGATGAATCTCAGGGACCACCACATGATGCCCTTTCCCTGACATAGCTGACTGAATCAGGGCCAACATCTTTCCCCACTGCACCAACAAATATATTCTCTCAATTTGAAGTAACAGAGAATCAGAATTTGGTTTCAATTCATTTCTTTTTATAACCAGAAGAAATTCCTGTTGCTTCAACCACTAATTTAAATAATTCCATAGCAATAAAGCAAAGAGAAAGAAAGGAAGGAAGGAAGGAAGGAAGGAAGGAAGGAAGGAAGGAAGGAAGGAAGGAAGGAAGGAAGGAAGGAAGGAAGGAAGGAAGGAAGGAAGGAGAGAGAAAGAAGAGAGAAGGAGAGAGAAAGGGAGGGAAACATACTGAGGATTTCCACAGAGCTGAGATAAATGTACATTAACCCTACATAGGTTCTCAAATGAGGTGACTTAACACATTGTGGCCTACCAAAAGTCAAATCTTGTTATTGGAGTCAAATATTTATAAATTCTGAAGAAATTTACTGCAAGCAATTTATTGGTCTTGAAATTTCTAAAATGGTTTCACAGCTTCACTTGAAAAAATTTGTATCATATCAATGTTATTATAAAATTACCTGTGAATTTTTAACTCAAGTATGAATCCAGATAGAAAAATTAAATAACTGATTTTCTTTGGAAAATATGTAATAAAGCTAAAGCCAATAAAGCCATTTCCAAGAATATTTAGCTATTTTTTAAAAATAAAATCCTAGCCCTGGCTGGTGTAGCTCGGTGGATTGAGTGTGGGCTTCAGATCAAAGGGTTGTCAGTTCAATTCCCAGTCAGGGCACATGCCTGGGTTGCAGGCCAGGTCCCCAGTGGGGGCCAGGTGAAAGGCAACCACACATGGATGTTTCGTTCTCCCTCCCTCTCGTTCTCCCTCTCTTCCCCCCTCTCTAAAAATAAATAAATAAAATCTTTTAAAAAATAAAATCCATTAATAGGTAATAATATGGTAGACAATTAAATTTTAGGTAAGCTAACATAATTATAAAAATCTACATTTATTCTATACTTGTTGGAATATACTATATGTTAGGCCCTCTACTAGGCAGTATAGCATTGGACAAATTAGACATAAATCCCACCGCAAGGAATGTACATTCGAGAGGGGGAAGATAATAAACAAAATTAATAAAATAAGCAGCATAGTCTGTAACATAGAGACAAAGTAGCATGAAAAAGGTGAAATAAAGAAGGAGATGGTCAGGAAATCCCTCAATGAAAATTTTACCTCTGAGTGAACATCTGAATGAGCCTTTAACTTTATTCATGTAGTCTAAACTTTTAAATTGAAATGGTAAATTAAACTGATACTTATTTCATAAAAACAAAAACAGGAAGGGGAACTCTTCCTTGGTGAGAGAAAATTTCCTGTCCCCAGAGTGAGCAGCCCTTCAAGGTGGTGCCACTGATTCTTTGTCCTCCTGGCAAATGCCGTTCAAGTCCTGCGCCACCTTCACAGACACCAGGACACTCAGACAGGATTCATCATCCTTCCTGTCTGATATCTTCTCACTGGGTACAGACTCGTAACATAAACTAGGCTTTCTTCTCGAATAAACTATAGTCTCCCTGAGGTCTTTTTTTTTTTTTTTTTTGGCTCTATCTCCCCTACAGGTAGAACAAGAACTTGTTTATTATAGGGACTCAGTTACTTAATCACTGAAGAGATACACATATCCAAAGAGTTAACAATAAACACAATTATAAAACACATAGCTCAATATTGGCTGGATTATCTCTGGCCCAGAGAATAGGGCATCCCTGTCTATAAATCCTTCATGGGATTCTCAGGGCCAACAGGAAGAAGGGTTAGAAGATCTTAACTAGGCATTCAAGGTCCCCAGCAGCTGGGCCTTGCCCACTTCCTCTGCCTTCTCTCCCACCACCTCTGCTCACCAGGCCAAGCCTGGTTGTGCAAACATGCTTATCATGCTCGAAAGCCAGTCTCTGAGCTTCTGCAGAGCCTGTATTCCTTGCCTAAAGTTCTTGTTCTCCTTGTCTAGTAAATTCCTACTCACCTAAAGAATCTGTTCCAGCTTTGCTTCTTCCAAAGTCTTCCTGATTTCCTCAGGTAGAGTTAGTTACATGTTCCTCTGAGCTCCCACATTGCCTCGTCCATTCCTCAGCTTCAATATTTACATCACATTATGGTATGACTGTTTCCTTGTCTGGCTTCTCCACTTGACCGAGAGCTATTTGAGGTTAGATACAATTTTATTCATCTTTGCACCCTCAGTGGATAGCAACCGTGTGAGGCAAGTCTCCGGTGTACTTGTTCCTCGATGCCATTCTGCGAATTGAGCTGTGGCTCACATTCTAGAACCACACAAATTAAACCAAGCACATCATTTATCTATGGAGCCAGGATCTCTGAAATCCTTGGTGGTAGAACACATATGTGGCATGCTCTTTCATGTGACATTAAAGATTTAAAATACATTCAAAATTAGCAATATGAATAACTAAATGGAAGAATTCAAGCAAGAGGTTTTAACTAGGGACATTCAACAAAGTCTGGAGACATTCTTTGTTGTTGTAATTTGGGGAGAGGAGCTCCTACTGGTATTTAGTGAATAAAGGCCAGGGATTCTGCTAAACATCTTACAAAGTGCAAGGCAGCTCCCTTAAAAAATTATCCAGCCCCAAATATCAACAGTGTAAGGTTGAGAAATATTGACCTAATCCTTTTACCTTAAGAATCTATAATTTTTTTAAAGTTACTCTAATTACAAGTTATGATGGGCTCTAACGCAGATGATTACTTCCCTAGTCAACTTCTAAGAATGCACAACTTCTAAAAGTAGTCATAAAACATTGTACTCTGAACCAAGGGATCTGTTGGTCCCAGGAAAAAGGGGAGAGCCAGATTTTCATGTTCTACATTTGATCAGTAGCAATTGGAACTCTACTAAAACAATTAGATGATAAGAGTCATCATACTCAATCTCAGAAATATTTGGATGAATTATTAATATCATCATTAATGTATTATCACTGATAAATGGATGACAACTTTGGGAAGAATAACTTGACTACTTAGCAACAAGATTACCAACCTTTGTAACATTTTAGCAATGCATACTAGGCTCCAGTAGTTAAAAAATAAGGAAATACATCAAAGCAGAATCAGGAATGTGAAAGCACTCTAAATGATGACACCTAAGATTAACCAGTCTCCCAGACCCCAGAAATATGTCAAGAATCTGAAGAGACTAGCAATACTCCAACCCTACCTACTTATTCCAGTGACACAAGAGCAATTTAGTAGGAAAGCAAAATTCTACCTCTGTCTCTAGCTTCTCATTGACCATATTTTGATTGTCCAGAGGTGATCTGCCCATAGGTTTCCCTTTGACATACAGAATCTAACATTTAAAAACCGAGCTTGTCCTTTTTCATAATAAAATGGAGGTCCTGCGTTATCTTCAATGGCATTCCCCCAGAGCACCTGGGCTCACAATCCTGTTGTCTTCTACTTCACGTCTACACTTCAGCCTCAACATCCAACTATCCTCTGGGTTTGTATCATGCAATGTTCTTTGGATTTGCTCCTTTGCCCCATTTATTCCCTTTTATGTCTGCTTTCCAAACCACTACCTTAATGCAGGTCTTTATTGTTTGTATACCTAGACTTCTGTTAACAACCTCAGGCAGTATCTATCAGGTAGCATCTTCCTGCTCCACTCTGTTCCACATGATATTATAACAACAACCACAGCAATACTGATAATTCTAGGTTGCTTGTAGCCTGGGAGTTTACAGCTCAAGTTTTGGGGTTAGACTGCCTGGATTTCAAGCATTTACATACATCATTTAGTACTTGTAACAAGCCAATGAAGTAGCTACTATGATTATCCCCATTTTACAGATGAGAAACCTGAAGATCACATGTCTAGTAAGCACTGCGCCAGTATCTGTCCCACTCTGCCTGACTCCACAGTCTGAGCCCTTACCATCATGATAACTGCCCATCATCCAGCCTCTTACCCAGGACTTGGAGAGTCCTACATCCACACCATGAGGCCACTCTCTGTATATCTGGATCCCGTGAACCCAACTCATTTTCTCTTTCTGTATCACTTTTGCATGGGAGGGGCTGGTTGCTTTTATTTTATGTTATATATGTAGTGGATTGTTTTTTAATTGTTCTCGAGTAGCTCCATTTGTTTATATTTTGTCTCTAGTTTAAGTTTTTAAAAGAACTTTGTTATTTTTCTACATTCTTCCAAACTACCTGGTATAATACTCATGACTATAGAGTGCTTTAACACTAATCTTTTAATTACTTGCATGAAAACACTTCACAAATTTTAAAAAATATAATGAATTTAGGTGAATAGCTAATACAGGATATTATTATGAATATAAAAACTAAGTTGGGGAGTTCCTCACAGGTCATCAAAGAAAGCTAGATTTGAAGATCTTGAAAATAGTAAAACCTTAAAGCTTCATTTGTGAAGGCCAAATACAGGCAGAAAAACCAGACTTTATTTTTCCACTTATATAACTGGCCTAATCATTTCATAACACTGCTTAGTTTCAAGCATAAAAAAAGCTCCCAATACTTTCAATCCCATGGGCCACCGAAATTGGAACCTAGAATTAGAAGTAAACAGTGGTGGGTAGTACAGTCGCAGCATGTGGGCGAAAATCCTGGGGAGAACAGAGACTGGCATCTTGCTCCACTCAGTACCACTATTACCGCTGTGGCTATCACTCAGAAATCTCCAATTGGATTAATAGCTGCGACAAGTCATTATTATGGGTCTTTGGTTTGGCTTACTTTACCGAATCATGTAAGCTCAGACTCGGTCATCGCAGTTCACTCACTGTCTGTCTTGTGTACCCGTAACAGATAACTCAACTGATTGAATTAAGGAGTGGGTTCAGAAATTTATGTTCTCTCTAACAGTAATAATAACAGTAATATCTATCACTTGTTGGATTGACAGTATGCACACTGGTTAAAATCCAGCTCTCTCGAGTCAGGTTGCCTGAGTCCACACATCAGCTACTTGTTTTTAGGAAAGTTACTTAACTTTTCGGACTCTTGGGTTCTTCACCTATCAAGTAGGCCTAATAAAAGTTACTACCTTCAGTAGGACTTCTGGAAGGACTCAAATAGAAAATAAATATTACACAATTAGTATAGTTGTATTACTTAAATACTCTAACAACTGTAGCTATTTTTGAGTACCCACTCTATGGCGGGCATTATACCAGGGTTTCTCAATCTTGGCATGATTGACATTTGGGCCTAGATAATTCTTTGTTGTGGGGGGTTGTCCTGTGCATTGCAGAATGTTTATTTAGCACATCCCTAGCCTGGACCCACCAAAAGTCAGAAGCACCTCCCATGTCATGACAATCAGGGGCAAAATCGGCCCCGGCTGAGAGCCACTGCACTAACCTTAACTCTTTAGAAATATTTTACTGATTCCTTAACATACTCTGACAAGGTCGTATGCCATTGGTATTACCTCCATTTTACAAGTAAAATGGAGCTCAGAGATGTTACCAACTTGCCCAGGTTACCCAATCTGCCCAGGTTCAGCTGACACCATAGTCTTGGTTGTGCATTATACCCCCCTAATGTAGGTGATGCTTCTCTTTGAGACTCATTCTTGGATTCTTATATACAAATGCACCACCTGTAGGCAGAGGTCGGAAGGACCTTCAGAGGATAATAGTGAAGCCAAATCTCACTGCTACAGAGTCATGAGCTAACCTCAGGCATCCTCATCTCATGCTCATAACCCAAGCCACAGCATTTCTATGCAGAGCAACAGAGTTTTGATAAATCCCACCAGAAGTGGGTAAACAAGCAAAAAGAGCATTATTCTAAACCGCCCCCCATGAAAGTGAACTAAAAAACATATAGGACCCATCTTGAATTCCTCCCTCTCCCTCAGTTCCCTAGTCAGTTCCCTCTCTAACAGGCATGCTCTTCCATTTAGCTTCTTTTTGTTTCCACAGACTCCACCTTATCTCTGGCCCTCACAAGAGACAACATCCAAAATGCTCGCTGGCTCACCCTGTGCCACAGGTCATTTAGCATCCTGCTGCCAGACCAATATCCAGCAGAAATTAACTACATCAATTACTGCTGCACTAGAAAAGCTCTAATAAACTCTTATTTTCTGAAGCATCATGTTTAAATGTCACTGATATTCAAGACCTTTGAAATGCTTTCCCACTCTATCCCTTGTCATTCTGCCTCTCTATGTCCCCCACCCACTCCCATTCACCTCCTCTCCACCCCAGCAAACTCCTTGCTATCCTACCAATTGGATGAGGGGAACCTTTGTTTCTCTGTGCTCCTCATCCTGTGGCTTCCATGTTCCCTTCTCAATGCCTTTCTATCAAAATCCTAACCGCTCTTTTAGGCCCAGCTCAGGCTGAAGCCCCTCTGCAAAGCATTCTCTATTGGAGCTTCATCAAGATCTTTCCATTTAAAGGTGTTCATAGCCCTGCCAATCTATCCTATACCACCTAGAACCTTAACTCTCTGGTATGTGCTGCAGTTTCATGCTTTCCCCAATGCATTATAATCCTGTTTTATGCCAGTACCATATCTCACATTTATGGTCTGTGCTCAGAGAAGGCCCTCAATGAGTCCTTACAAATTTACTCCATGGAAGCCCCCTGCTGCTGTAGGAATGAGGCAGTGCACACAGGCATGCGTCCCCAGATATTATCTTTACACTCAGGCTCCACCTATATGATGTCACTTCATAAGGTTCACTGCTCCAGGGAGACACCATCACCAGCACACCTGCTTTCTGCCGACTCATTTTGAGCCTGAGTCCTCTGTTGGCCCTTAGCTCTCAAGACTCCTGGTCTCCTTTTCTTATCAGCACACCCTGACTTACTTCAGCATCGCAGTCTTTGATGCTGACCTTATTCCCTGGGAGTAAACCCAAAGCACCGTGCTGAAGTCAGCTCTTTATGGCCTCTTTAACTGGCATCTCTGGAAATGGAAATAATGATGTCACCTAAGCCAATGATTCCCAAAAATAACTGAGGATAAGATCATATGAGTGCTTATGAAACATTCCAATTCCTGGGCCCTCCCTGCTTCAGACCTACTGTATCAGAGTATTCAGGATATGGACCTAGAAATTAGAATGCTTAGCTAGCATTCTGGGTGATTCTTATGATCAGACCAGTCAAAGAAGCACTAATCTAAGATACTGGGTAATATTTTACCAGCTGATCTAATGAGAGATTCAGGCTGAACTGCCAACCAGAAATTAGGCATCCTGATAAAAAACTGATTTCAGGGGAGAAGCAGCATTCTTCCTGATCAA